CTGTCTACGGTAGTATATCGTTTTAGATTAACTTGCAAGAACAACGTGTCGCGACTGGGAACGACGTCTTGGTTTACAGATTTATGGTTCTGTATTTACAAAAATAAATAATTGATGCACAAAAGTACTCTTTCGCACGGATGAAGTCGCATAGCCAATACTCTCATATAATCGAAAACTACAACAGTTATAGAAGACCACAGCTTTAAAGTCGGGTACTGAATTCGACGTGAATAATTCAAACAATGAGATCAAATGCGACACAATAGGACGGCTGAAACTCTAAAGTTTGTTGTCCGTCAGACAAATGTATATATAACCTCTAATGCGCCTATTTCCGTAAGAAATGCCTCGAGGCGAGCACTCAGCAAGTTGCCGATTCTAGGGCACGTACACGTTAATAGGGTTTGTGTTTTGACCTCATGTTAATCTCTGACGTTGTTACAAAGAAGTTTATTTTATTACGTAATGTATGGTAACGTTCTTGAATATACCGTCCTTGAACCTATTATTGTCTCACTGAAGTACTGGGCTTTTAGACGAGAGGGTTTTAGCTTAGACCCACCGCGCTGTTCCAGTGTGGACCGGCGGGCTTGAACAACTATTGTTCCTAATTTAAAGATTAACCAGCACCACCACCTAGTGAAATTCTCAAGCCATATTTTTATGTATCTAAACAATATTTGATGTCAAAGTCAAAGTCAAAGTCAAAGTCAAAAATTATTTATTCATGTAGGTAACTATGTACACTTATGAACGTCACAAAATAATTATAGAATCTAACTTTACATTTACTACCAGTTCTCAAATCAAGGGCGTAGAACGAACGAGAAGAACTGGCAATAAACTCGCCGTCACTCCTTTTATCCAGGAGAGCAGATTAAAACCAAAAACGCGATTCGTCCATGACTCGGACGATATTCCTACACCCATTTGAAATCCAGATTTCTAGACGAAGCCAATGTCAAAAAACTCGATTAGAAAAATGTAAGACCCAGTGGGTACCGAACTCATAACCCGTTAATTATTAGGCGTAAATTGCCACCATTACACCAACGAGACCGTCGATCACATAAATGAAACATTTCTAACGGTTTAAAATGCGAAGTATATTACTGTAGTAACTTATTAGTCCTCCCGTGACCACGACTGCTACAGAAATATATCAGGCCGTGCATATTAAAATAAAATAATTTTAACGGTTTAAAACGCGAAATATACTAGTTAACGCTATTTAAAGTACGGCCCGACGTTTCAGATGTTATGCAGCAGCCATGGTTACGCGTAACTTTATCTCGCGTTGTAACTGTTAATCGTGTTTTATTTCAACAGAATTTATTTTATACACAATCATTGTTCAATGGAAATCTTAATATTCGCCTGTATTTCATTAATAATTTTCACCAAAGCTGACAGGGCGTGGGATGGTCGGTCCCCAAGCATCGTTAGTAAGACCTTATCCTAAACAAAATTGATAGCAAAAGTGACCGTTAATGTAACACTTTGCGTGTTATCCAAACCGAGCACTTTCTAAAGAATTCCTTTATGCTCGTAACAATATTGATCAATCACGTTTACACCATTAGATACAAGTTATTTTCACACAAGGGTTATTTTGCAGGCTTCGAACTTTCATAATACATCGTACCCCATAAGTGATGTGTAATGAAAACTTTGAGTTCGTACAAATCATTTGAAGGGGGTGTTACTATGATATAAATATACCTACATATATAGTACATAAAATATCAAATGTGAAAATAAGTATGCTGGGACGTCATAATATTTTTATATATACTCTGAATGAATCACATTTAAGACACCTACCCGACGTTTACTTCATTACTGTAATTTTTTTTATTAATTCTACATGCAAATGTTGCCAGGAAGAAATCGCCATAGGCGATAAGGTCGCCATTGCACAAACATGTTTTATTTTGTATAGATAATTATAAGAGTCTATGTTTGTGCAATAAAGAATTGTATAATTATTATTAGTCATAAATTTAAATAAAACACTTTAACGGTTTAAAACGCGATGTATATTAGTTAAACTAATTTGGAAATTATTTTCGATGTGTATTTCTCGCGTAAACTACAAAAAGTATTTACTCTTAAATTGCACATTAAAAAACCGTTTTTTTTTTTATTTAAATACGTACAAGCATGATGTTTACTTAATGGAAGGTGACCTTAACCATATACAAAATGCGCTGTCGTCCTATTTCGTCTTTCGATATTCGGAAAGAGCCCTCTTCACAACAATGTGTTTAATTTTAACTTTGTTTATTCATGATTCACTTGATCACTAATTAAACTATTTCCGGGAAGTGTAAGAGTTAAGTAGCTTTGGAGTCTATTTTTAGTTTTTAATGGTTTTATAAACAGTCACAAGATCTTAAGACTCCCGCAAGCCTGCGTGGCTTCGTTTTGTATTTATTTTGATCAATAATTTTTTGCTTTGATCTGATCGAAGTGTGTTTTCTAGTTGGCCCTTTGTTTTTATAGCGACTCGAGTTCATCCATCTGAAATAATTATTTTGTGCATCATAATATAATTAATTATTGCATACAAACTCCTTAGCATTTTAAATAACAGCTGTTACCCAGGACGTCGTTCTTGCGAGTTAATCTTAAGAAAGAAGACTGTGGCAGACATATTTTGAGATTATTTTAAACCGAATCATTCTTTCATACATGTTTTCTTGGTTTCCTGAGCCGTTTTCGCAGCGCACGCAACAGAACCATCAAAGATGAACAATATTCCCCATTTTTACTCTTTTCTCTGTCTTCGCTCCAATTGGCCGCCGTCTGATATATTTTGGCCTAAAGCGTTACTAGAGAAATAGTCTATCTAACACAAAAGTTTTTTTCAATACGAAACAGTAGTACCTGAGCTTAGCGCGTTCTAACAAACTCTTTATAATATTAGTGTAGATACAGTCAGCTGCAAGAACTATGCTTTAAAGGCATTTATACATTGGGTTAAACAAGAAAATGTAGTTTTAAATCTTCTATATTTAAGTAAAGATGTTTAAGAGTACAGAATAAGTCACTATGCATGGACTAAGATTCCTCAATTCGAAATGGCCCCGACTTCCTTTAAGAACGAGGTAATCCGACTGAAGGAATATTCACTGAATCGCGATGACAAAAACGGGATAAGTGGGGAACGGCCACCACAACAATTACGTTTCGAAATGTAAATCGACGTTGTTCTGGCAATTTGTAAAAAATCATTTATATGTAAATAATATTTTAAGACCTCATTTTTATGGCATATAACATTTTTAATAAACTTTAAAAGTTTAACTGACAATCGTGGGTAATTGCACATTTAAAATTATATAGTTGTTTGACGAGCAATCTAGTACATAATATCGTTACTTAAATTATTTTTGTTTTCATATAAATGAATACGTATGACACATTTCGAGGTAACTATAAGTCGTTCTTGAAATTTTGAAAAATTGTGATGCATGATTGTCCAATTCTATGATGAGTTTAAAGAATAATTTTAGAGGACAATGGCGAACTTTCATAAATACGTTTCTGAGACAAACTCCAAAACTAATTTCTAAAAAGAAATATACCCGAGAAAACCTAGCAACTTCTATATTACATTGTGAAAATCCTAAATAGGTATTATGTGGTAATGTTTTATTTATAGCAAATGAAACATAATCACATAATCTCCTTATTTTTGTCTTGAAAAAAAACAATATCGAAACAACATCACACACAAACTAACTTTTAATTATTTGACACTTGACATGACAGCTAAGCTGTGTTACTAGTTAAAAGTTATAAAAGCCTTCATCCTTTCGCCGGCAAACTTTTATGAAAAAAATAGATAAACCGATGATACGATAATTTCAAGGCTTTAACTGAAAAAAACGATTATTATTAGAAATACGTTATGTGATGGGAGAAGTATATATAGTTGCCGGAAAAACAACAAAGGAAAACATTTACAGTGCAACTGAGGTGAAAATATGAAATGCGAAGCAACTAGTCTATTAATTACACGAAAAAATCTGTTTTGCTAAGCTACTAATATACTAAAACCAATATTAAAAAATAAATTGTTTACACGACTATTACGGATTAAATTAGGTGCAATGTCTGTTAAATATACAAATTGTGAATACCTGGTTAAATTTAGAGTCAACAACGAATTAATTTCGCCTCATGAATCCGGTTATCCATTGGGCTAAATTAAGTGCGGATATATTAACTGGTATAATTTGTTTGCTTTACCTAAATAGTAAGATTTTGTTATATGTCTCGGTCGGAACTATTTTTACCATCTCTAATTCCAATACATATTTGTCATATTATATTTTATAATAGTTATGTGCGCTGTTATGTTATATATTATTGATGTTTATTGAAAGAATAAGTATAATACATCGTATTTGACTTATATTATAACCAAAACCCAAGCTGAAAATAATTCTACATGACAAAATTTAACGGTTTAATATATTAGTAAACGTATTGAAAAGATATTCGCCCGCCGTTTCGGAAGCTTTTCAGCCGCCGGGGGCCCGGGGAAGGGGGGGGAGAACTAATATATCGCGTTTTAAACCGTTAAAGATGTACATTCAAATGAATTGTTCAAGTCTCAGAGTATGCAGATATATTTTATTATATTATGAAAACGAATATTTTTAATGTGTACGATAACATATATATTTTATTTATACGCTTTGTATTTAGCTGAATAGTTTGTTTGCTTCAACGCGCTAGTTTCGGAAAAGGGAAAAAAATAAAAAAAAAAAAAATTATTACGTATAAAGCTTCACACTGCTATACATAGGGTCATAGGAGGAACGTTAATTCAAAATCGAAGAAATCAATGTAATTAGTTATAGGCTACTTTTAGTTAGTGAGTTTTGGTGGTGTTTATGATTATAAACTTAAAAAAAAATATATTTGTTAGTAAGTGCAATAAAATGTATTATTGGTGTGTTTAAATTTACTATTTTTGTGCGCAGATAGTAACTTCGTCCTGGGCAATGCACAAGTCCCATCCTACCCCATCGTGTACTGCTCGGACGGCTTCTGCGAACTGACCGGCTGGGCGCGTGCGCATATCATGCAGAAAGGCTGTGCATGCAAGTTTCTCCATGGACCGGACACGCATGAGGACCACCGCCGTGACATTGACGCGGCACTTGACTCCAAACATGAACTTAAACTTGAACTTATTTTTTACAAGAAAAATGGTAAGTATTTTTTTTAGTGAAATAATAAATCTATCAAATCAAACTATCTGGCTTATAATCTTTTAAAATAATAGAAAGATTATAATTGATTGCTATCTGCGATCATTCGTAAAGATTTTTTATGAACTAGTTTAAAAATGAAATTTTAGGTCGTTTCACCAAAATTGATAAAACATATTTATTATTTAAGTACCTACTATGATAAAACCTAGAAGTAAAATAAAAGATTTAAGGATTCCCAGGCACGGAGGAAACATATTTCTTTGTCTGTTTCATTAGTTAACTGCTATGTATAAATAATTACTAATTCAATCACAAACTATCATCTATTTAAACACAGGAAGCACTAGGACTCATAAATCAATCCTTTTTATTATTTAGAATTTAATTTTGACAATCTTTAAAACGGATTAGTTACTTAAAAGCTTTAACGTCTTAATACAAATCGAACTGCTATTTCCAATTGAATCTGGGGCGTTCGTTCTATAATCCTACTTGCTTAATTTATGTACGCAACACCTAACTTTTCTTTGAGATTTTGAAAATTTTATTTAATTAATTTATTTGTTTCTTTATCTTTTATTTACAAGAATCCGGGCATGAAACCGTGTTTTTTAACAGCGGTTGATTTATGCCATAGATCACACTAGTAAAATGTGTGTTAAAAGTCGATTTTTGATGAAGAATTTTTAAAAATTTCATCCATAGTAAAATGTAACTGAACCAAAAAACTTAGTATATTGTAAAAAAAAACAAAATTCTTTATTACGTTTCAATACACACGATGCAATTAGAGAGTCCTTACACATAGTGTCCCACGATACACAGGCCTGCCCTCATGTGGGAAACACTAGGGCAAGCCTGTGTCGTCGGTAAAAAAAATAATTACATAGTTACTTATTCCATATTTCATGTACAGTCTGTGATTGAAAAAACTTCATAATCCTCTACAGATGATTACATTTTGAACAAGTTAAATTTCTTAATTTCCTCTAAAAAATAGAGGGTATTACTCCACGTTGTCATCGCTACAGTGGAAGTTGAAATGGCTTTAATTACTCTTAGTCAAGTTTTTACACCATTTCCACTTAATTAGTAGATTCATTTAAGTTAACAAGAAACGTTTTTTCGTTTAGAAAGCTTGGTCAATGTTTTGTAATTAGAAGAGCAAATTGAAATATGGGTTCTTAATTAACTGGTGTTTAGGATAGCACCTTCAATACAAAAATGTTGAAAATAACTATTTAAATACATTTTATGAATAATAGTTCTTCCCTACTTATTTGAGAGACATTAATTGTGTACACTAAGAGTTTCATGCAGCGTATATTCCTAGCCGCTATCGTAAACAAAATCCAATAACAACTTTACGATCCCTTTCATCAAAATTAAACTTTTACAAGCGCACAGATGTTCGCTGTCACAATTTGTAAAACAAACAGTCCTTTACACTACGAACTTTAAAGTTTTTCGCCTCTATGCAAATAGGTAATTAACCTCTTCAGCGTAAATATTTCATACAACGTTGGCTCTAAATTATTATGAGAAACTCGTTCAAAATGTCGTGTGTACGAGCGTGTTTTTATTAGTGCGTCTTGTGTCTATATTTTATAATTCCACGAGACTATTTCGACACTAATTAGATGTTTGTTTCAGGAACGCCATTTTGGTGCCTGCTCGATATCGTCCCAATTAAAAATGAGAAACGAGAGGTGGTATTATTTCTCGCGTCTTTTAAGGATATTACAAACACAAAGATGGCCGCCATGAACACTAATGAAGACTTTGACAGCGGTAAGTCGAAATTTACGCGCGTACATTATACTTAAAACCTGTTTGTAAATATTGTGATTGTCTTGCAAATAAACTAATGTTTTGATTGATTCCCTAATAACGTCGGTAATCGAACAAGAATAAAGCAATCAGACATGATTAAAGCTTGCCTATACTCAACATCGATGTTGTAGACACGTAGTAGTAGAGAATCTGCTGTCTTCGTACTTGTAATAAAGTCTTAGAAGTTAAGCACTCAATTGGAAATGACCCATACCGTCTCAACCTTCGCAAAGCTTACAAATCCGTATAATATGTAACATTACACTTATGTATTTTATATTCCTATAACGTGTTTTGAGCACGTGGTTTTAGTGACATTAGACCCTTCGTTGGATCGTCATAGCACGGTAAAACTCAGTTTGATGTTTGTAGGTTTATCATTAGATACTGTTTGGTTTTTATATACAAAAAAGTAGATTTTCTCTAGCGAACTCCTTGGTAGTGTAGGTGTCTTAGTTAAGTTAACATTTACAAAAACTACTAAGTTCAAGAAGGAAAACATGGATTTTGGATTAATGTAGCATTTTATCATGAGATCTACGTACACCATTACGAAAACTTATGGTAACTTTGTTATTGTTAACTTGCTTCGATCACTGTAGTCGTAGTACCTGAACATATAGGAAATAGGAACATTATATAATATGTATATCTTAGGCAAGGCACGTGTATTATGAACAAAGTATATATGTATAACGTGAATTGTTTCATTATAATAATCGACCTCCTTACTTATAATCTGTTTTATATACATTTAAATAATTACTTTGCGTTCCTGTATGCTGACTGTAATATGTAATTTATTAATGTGTATGTACGCTACCACCCTGTAATTTTCTCGTAAGAATATATTATTTTTATATAATTGTCAGTGCATTATTAAATTAATGTAAGGTAAATATAAGATATGATGTTGGACAACTTAAAACTTCACTGCTTAGAAACCATTTTTAAAGTTTATGATAATAATATATTATGTTTAAATTACCCCTTTCAACAAACACTAGCTGTACCAGCAACTACGTCTGCGTTTAAAACTTATTTTGGGCATCAAAAATTGGTTTTGCAAACCCTCCCTCTTTTTTTAATATTATAGCTGTTTAGTGGTCGCGGCCCGTCGTTCTTGCAATTTAATCTTAGACTGTAGACATAATATAATGTCGCGTTCATTTTTTTAGATCCTTTAAATTGGACATTCCATAATACTATCCTATTTATATTATATTTAAACATATTATTTATTAAAATTTCCTTTCAATGAAAAACTTTTTCCGCTTCTCTTATCGGTCAGTAGCTTTGTAATTTTGCCATTTTTGGTACATATTGCATTTGCACGATTTAATGCATGTATGTATGTTTTCTTGATGGAATTATATAACATAAAGATTTTATGCTTGATATTTTATTAAACCTTAGAAGCCTAATATAAATCGTAACCTTACCTAGAATTATCTATCTCTTTAGTCTAGTTGAAATATCGTTATCGATATTCTTGTTCTAACTTGTTGCTTTGTAAATTATTGCTAGGTCTATACAATAGTATCACTTACTATAGTAACCTTATTGTTTTTGAAGTATTGAAAGAAACTTTTTTGATATTCAATATAGTATAATTATAATCACATCTAATAATTACAATTAATGAACGCAAATAGGATTTTCTTTCCGAACGTAACTAATAAATAATTCTGATTCCTACCCTACCTGGGCTTATATTCGAATAATAAGTCCATACATAATCTGTTTCTCGTTCCTTATTTACTCACATTTCGCGAACATTCATTATACTTATCCCTCTCGTGGCTCGTCGAGTCTCTTCAGTGTTCTTCAGTCATCAAAAACTTTTCATAGCTTACGGCACAGAGAAAATCCTGTACTTGTAACGTTTTTACGTTTGTAGCGCTTAATGTTAATGGCTTTTAGGATTCTTTCACACGAATGTTTCGAGAATTGAGTGATCGCGATATTTTCGATTCGTGTGCAAGGCTATGAGTATCGGTGAAGATAACAGGGTGGTTTATGCGTACAGGAGCCGCGGTGCGGCCGTCGGCTGGCGTGGTAACTCTAGCGTTGTCCCCATTTGTACCCGCAGCGGCACTCTTGGGCGCCCGGTTCCGAGCTGAATCTAGTTGCCTCCTTCCAGACTCCAATGGCAATCTTGACCCCGAAGCGCCATCACCCGCTAACATGGGCAGGCGGCGCTCCAGGGCCGTCCTATACCAGCTTTCAGGGCATTACAAACCGGACAAAATGAAGACAAAACTAAAACTCAACAATGTCAGTAAGGTATTTTATGCATTGTACTAACCACTAATGTATGGACGTATAAAGGGACTAACGAAAATAATATTGACTATCTGCGAAAGAGATTAACATGTCATACAGGGCAGTAATGTATTGATGTTTAAAATTTCGTGTGTATTTTTAGAATTTGCTACACTCGTCGGATCCGCCGCTTCCCGAGTACAAAACATCGGCGATAAAAAAGTCAAAATTTATTATCTCGCATTACGGCGTTTTTAAAACCTTCTGGGATTGGTTAATCCTAATAGCGACGTTTTATGTGGCTGTTGTGGTGCCCTATAATGCCAGTTTCGTTGACGAGGGCCATCCGAGAATAAGTGTAACCAGTGATGTTATTGTAGAAGCACTCTTTATTATTGGTAAGAATTCCAAAGTCATTTGAAACCCCTTTGTAGATTTGAAACGTTTTCCCTTTGTAGATCGTAGGGCAGACAACTTTCTGTTACCGACTCTTAACAATTATCAATAAAACCATTGAATTCAAGGAGGTGGTCGAAATATTCTCCCTGTCTCATGATCTTGCAATATTTACATAAAAGTTTATTCTTTATCAATATTATTAATATATGTAATTGTTACAAACAACTTTCATGACAAAACATACTCGAATAAATAAGCGCCAAAAGGGTGCCAGGGGGGGGGATTTATTCTCACAAGAATCAGACAAAAGCTTGAACAACACTTAATCTTTTACGGTTCCTAAATAAAAACAATAGAAGGTTAACAAAGAAAAGACAAGCACGGGGTTCATTTAGAGAAGGAAATTTGACATTTTGCCTACTTCCTTTTAGTGAACTTTAAAAACATTAATATTTTTCACATGTTATTGCACATGAAGGCACTATATAATTTAAAAATCGAAAATAAATTGAAAAAAATTTTTTTCGACTTGGCGACTTTATTGCGCGAGAGGTGTATGTATCAATAAGTTGAAAAAATTCGATGATGAGGTGTAGGACTCGGTAGCTCAATTGGTAGAGCAACAGCACGGAACGCTGACGATGCCGGTTCAAGTCCTGCCCAGTCGAACATTTTTCAATTTTTAAATTATTAGTGTTTCTTAGGCTTGCCTAATAATACGTTATGCGCGAGAGAAGTTAATGACTAGTTCCGGTCAGAATGGACGTATGTTTTCTAAATGAAATCATCTTCTGTTACCGATAAAAAGAACACAGAAGACGGAATTTACTTTTTTTATTATAGTGAATGTTTCCTATATAGATATTGTCCTCAACTTTCGTACGACGTTCGTAAGCAAGAAAGGGGAGGTGGTGTCGGATTCCAAGGCGATATCTCTTAATTACATCCGATCATGGTTTGTGGTCGATCTCCTGGCTGCCCTCCCTTTTGACCTACTTTACGCATCAGATGTGTACAGTGGTACGGTAAGTCACGTTCATTAATTAATTTAGCCGTGTAGTTTTAATTATGGACTTCAAACGATTCCAAACTCCCTCAACCATTCGTGTTTCAAACGCGAAAGCTTTGCGCAAAGTTCTGAAATGTTTTCACGAGATAGTTGTATTGAATGCCTCCCTTTTATTACGTTTCTGGGTCTATAAACTGTACCAACTTGGATGTACTTATTTAAAACAAGTGACTTACCTGTTTAGGAAAAACGTATTATTATTACGTTTGATATTTATCTTATATATTATTAGGTCAGTTGGTACAGTAATAGAGAAAATGTTACATTTAATATGTAGTAGAAGACTTTACATTCTTCATCATTAGTAAATGTATCTCTATATTGTAATATACATAATCAACAAAGAAAACAGTTTTCATAATAAAATGGGATAATAAGACAAAATATAAATTTATTGCAATTCAATAGACAGGTTTGTTTTATGTGATGTAGCGATACATACCCCTAGTTTATTTTTGTATAACATGCAGGATAATTTTTTAAACTGAAATTCTTTATAATATGTAACATATTAGAAAAGTAAAAAGCAATGCGTATAATATTTATATTTTTATTATTTTAATACAAATAATAAAGTTTGTAGGATATAATGTTTAAACTTTGAATAAATCATCATTCTTTTTAAAGGCTTCCGGAAAATCAAACGTCCCGTTTTCATTGGTAGAGTAACAAACATTACGGTACGCTTCGTGGCTTCGAATCCCACTACTAATATATAATTAAATTTATAGTAAAAATCCACTAAAATTATCTATTTGGAAACTTTAACTCTTTCCACATGATTTGTGCATAATGGCATTGTATAGGGCAACAGCACGGAACGCTGTGAATACTGGTTGAATACCTGTCCGTGTAGTAATTTTTGTTTCAATCAGTTCAAATAGTATTTTTTATTTTTTTGTAGGAATCAACACACGGAAACGTCCATCTCGTCAAATTGACGCGATTGTTACGACTGGCTCGGCTCTTGCAAAAGATGGACCGTTATTCTCAGTATTCAGCACTGATACTCACACTCCTAATGTTATCTTTCACTTTAGTAGCACATTGGCTAGCTTGTATCTGGTTTATTATAGCAGAAAAGGAGATAGAGCACCATAAAAACGAAAGTTGGGACTTGGGTAAGTGTTTTTATGGCGATAAGAGTTTGTGCTAGGCGAAACTTTTGTTCTTGTATAGTACTTTTCTTAAATAAAACGCGCAATTGAAACAATTCAAAACTTTAAAACCAATGACGAAGTTAACGAACGACTTATAACAATCGTTCTTTTGTTTGTTATTAGTAGTTAGTTAGTTAAAAAAATTTTTAAAGCATATTTGTGAAAAATATATTTAAATAAAACACTTTAAACGGTTTAAAACGCGAAATATTACTTACGATTTTAGTTAAAACAAATTGCAAATAAGTTACACATTACTAAATACTACAACTATACGAGTGATACATTTCGCGTTTTAACCCGTTAAAATTCTCGCGTAAACTACAGATCTTGTTAGTAGACTTAGATATCTTTATCCGCTCCTAATACTTTTTCCACCACTGGGGTTCGAACTCCCTTCACGAATAGCTCATATAATTGAACTAATATGACTTTCATACTTAGTATAAACAGTTACATTATAACAATGTTTCATCGATAATTTACAGTATGAAGTCATGCTAATACTAGTTAGTAGTTACAATGCTTGAAATAGAAATTTGCAATTAAATCTTTGCGCGACGTCATAATACCCCATTATAGCCAGAGGAAGTACTTGTTTAAGAATTGTAGTACTTGGAAGTTAGCGCACTTTAAGCTTGTAATTTTCTGCTTTTTATCGTCACTAGGGATGTGCATATTACAAAAATATATTTCCTTAGGTCAAAGTGATGCCTGTAGTTCACAGTAGTAGCATTTAAATATTAGTTAAACATATTTTTTATTTATTTATACGACGTCCCGACGAATTAGATAAAACGCTTACCTAGTATATTTCGTGTTTTAATCCGTTAAAACTATTTATTTTAGTTGTACGAGTGGGTTCTACTTTCAATAAAACACGTTTAACGGTTTAAAATGCGGAATGTATTATTTAACTCCCCGTGGCCATCTGCTGCTAAGCATTCGAAATGTTGGGCCGCAGTTAAAACCATTTCAACTAATAGAAACATAGTTTTTTAAGATTAAAACAGTTTTACTTCAATGTGTTCTGTTATTTAATTATTATATGCCCAACGTAGTCATAGTTATTAATTTGACACAATTTACTAACCAATATGTAATTCTTGCATAACAACTTAATATCAATTTGTTTTAATATAACCATGTAATTATATTTAAATAAATCATTTTAACGGTTTAAAACGCACATGGAGTCTCCTCGTGACCACGACTGCTGCAAAACATCCGACGTCGGGCCGTAGTTAAAAATAACTTTTAAACAAATTATTTTTTTTTTACGTTTGCGTTTTATACTTAAAAGTGTTTTATTTAAATGTGTACTACTCGCGTAAACTATAGACAGTATTTCATGTAATTATATCCCAATCAATGTTTTGTTAGAAACTTAATTTAATTCACTTTAAATTGCTAAAACTAGACATATAAAAATCGTATTTTTAAAAATATCAGCCATTAACATAAAGATTATATATTTACTAAACGGTTTATTTTTAAGCGGTAAGCTTATAATTCCAATCTACTAGAAGAATAAACAAGGTCCACATATATTCAATCAAAAAACTAAGCTTCTATGTTGTTTAGACTCTAGAATATAAAAAGCTATGTTTATGAAAGAGTAAGCCTTCTGTTTGCTTTTATAGGATGGATCAATAATTTAGCAGAGAGGCTGAAAATCCCGATAGTCAATATATCGCACAGTGAAAGCTATGTTACGGCGCTGTACTTCACGTGTTCGTCACTAACGAGTGTGGGCTTTGGAAACGTGTCCGCAAACACGCTGCCGGAGAAAATTTTCAGCATTTTAGTGATGCTTGTCGGAGGTAAGTTAATTTATATTTTTGTTCGTAAGGCTGCGGTCTCCTATAAACGCTAAACGAGGCAGCATAACGCAATAGGCCGAATATGGTGCTAACAAACATACTATTATGGAAACTGGTATCACCGTGTTTTTAATTAATTTATATATTTTTTGGAAACATATTGGACTTCGTCTTAAAATGTTTAATGGGTGGTAGGAATGTCGTTATTCCGTCCGGGTCACAAACCACCGTCCAAAAAAGCCGTGAAGTTTAAACTCGTTTTAGTTTCAATCAGTGGATTGCCGAATACTTAAAATAGATATTGTATGACTGTCCTGACCTGTCCTAACTGAAAAACGACAGTTTATAGCGAAAACATGAGACGCGGTGGTGTTTATTGGAGACTGAAGCCTAATCACATGACAATACCACTATGAAAAGGGTCGCAGCCGTCATCTGTAATAGAAACTTTGTTATCTAGTACGCGTTTTAGGCCCTAGATTAATTTCTATTTTATGAACTTGATTTCAACCCTCATACAATACAGATATCAGTTGTAGTTTATCTATACATCTATACTAATATATAAAGCTGCAGAGTTTGTTTGTTTGTTTGAACGCGCTGTGACTAATAGGAGTGCAGAAACAGCGGGAAATGTTTAAAAAACGGAGAAAATTATTCATACTTTTGGGTTTCCATTGCGCACGCTGCGAAAACGGTTCAATATACCCAAATAATGTGTATGAAAGAATTATTATATTTCTTTAAATGATCTAAAAAAACTCCGAGACATGTATTGTCTTGTTTTTTAGATTATTAGATTAAAAAGAGTTTTAGATTTATGTATCTTTTAAAATTAACTTGCGAGAACGACGGGACGCGGACGACGTCGTAGATCACGACAACTCAATTTATTGAGTTGATTAAACAGGGGGTTTGCAAAAACAAACATTGATATACAAAATAATTATTCTACGGGTACAAAGTCGCGTGACTCAGCTAATGTATTATATAGCTGAGAAGAGTTTGTTTGTTGGAACGCGTTAATCTCAAGAACTACTGCACCGAATTGAAAAATCATTTACGGTTAGATAGGCCCATATAACGAGAAATAATTTAGACTATATAACATCAGGCTGCGACCAATAGAAGCGAAGATAAATTGAAATGTAGAAAAAACGGGGAAAATTACTCATCTTTGAGGGTACCCGTTGCGTGCGCTGCAAAAACGGTTTAAAAAACACTTTAAATAATCTATAAATATGTTCAGGACAGTGCCTATCTTTTAATATTACCTCACAAGAATGATGGGACGCCGACGACGTCGTGGATATATTTAAGTATAAAGCGAAGTAGTTTTGCAACAGTAAATTTTCATGCCCATATAACTATTTTACGCAAACGAAGTCGCGGGCACAGCTACGTCAGTTCAGATATTGTTATTGTTAAAGGCTATGGTGCATTTAAATAATTTCTTTCTCAATAACTTCGTTCTTTCAATTTATATTATGTAAGATAAGTTACTTCATTCACGATTATATTATTATGATCTAATATGCTTAAGTAGGTAGAATGAATAAGAATTAAAATTTTTTGTTTTAAAAGTATCGTGTTCTCTAAAGCTAGATGCTAACGGTATACAACGAACCCTCGAGATATTAATTTGATCTCACAATGCAATGGCGACGTCCGAGTTGAGATCGATACTGAAAATGAAACCCGATTCGAAAATTCACAACGTCATTTGACTTTTAGACTTTATTGGTAGCAATGTAGGGCTAATAATCAATAGATCGTGGGTTCGATAGCCACCGGGTCCAATATTTCTTAAATCAATTTATAATTTTTCTGATGTTGAATGGGTGGTAGGAATACCGCAATTTTGTCTAGGTCACCAGCCACCGTTTACACATAAAATCGTCCAGTTTAATCGCGTTTCGGTTTCTGTGGATTATTTCCTCCACTATTGAGTGAGCCCCATACTTGTCTGTCCAACACGATGTATTACAACCTCTCTAAAAAGAAAAAATATTGTTTGATGGTACAACGCGTCACCTCGCATTAATCGCAAGAGATCCTGGGTTCGAATCCTGGGGAAGCATAATAGTATAGGTTGAACGGGGATCAGTAAACCAGACACAGAAATGTTTCTGCTCCATGCAACACAAATTCATTTTCTTATCTACGTTGTCCAAATTGTATTATTTAACATCAAAGTGTGTTTTTAATGTGAAATACTTTTTATAACAATTTCGAACATTGTACAGCCCTGATGCATGCAGTGGTGTTCGGTAATGTGACCGCCATCATACAAAGGATGTATTCCCGCCGTTCGATGTACCAATGCAAGTGGCGAGACCTCAAGGACTTTCTCACTATCAATCAGGTTCCTAAGGAACTCAAACAGAGGATGCAAGACTACTTTCAGACGATGTGGTCTCTTAACCATGGCATTGATATACATGAGGTAACTTTTTGTTATTCTGTTTAAATGCTTACTTATTTCGTAGAATATTTAATCCTTACTAATATTATAAATGTGAAAGTACCCTTTCACGCCAAAACTACTGAACGGATTTGAATGAAATTTAGTACACATATAATCTAGACCCTGAGAAAGCACATAGGCTTATTTTTGCGAAAAGGGGGTTGTAAGGGGTTCAAGGGGGGGGGGTTTGTATGGAAATTCGTGGTTTTTGAAGATAGAACATTGAAAGTTTCTTCTTTGGGTTTTTTGAGAATAGAAGTGGGATTGGGAGTGGGAGTGAGAGTGAGTGTAGGAATAAGACTGGGAGTTAGAGTGAGAGTGGAAGTTGAAGTAGGAGTGATGTGAGGTGAGAGTTTTGCGGCAGCACTTACAACTGTAACTGTACTGTAGCTCAATTGTTAAAGCTACAACACGGAAGATTTTAAATTTGTCAATCTAAGGTTTTTTACCAAACAATAACTAATTTCAGATAGTTTATTAATAAGACACTATAGAAGTTAAATCAATACACCATTTTGGAAATATCTACTTTTCAACAAAAACAGAATCATTGAAATCAGTTAGTCATTATGTCATAACGACAAAATTCCGCGAACAAACATAAAAAGGACATAATATATTCGAATACAATTAATATGCTACTTTTTTGATGTCATCTTGAAACATAATTTAATCTCAAAAAGTAATAAATTCTGTTAATACTTATGTATTTCCAAGAACTTCTATTCTGCCAAGCATCATAATTAAGTAATAACCCTTATCTATTAATTGCTTATTTAAAGAAGTCCTTACTACAAAATATAGGGATCATGTAATACAAATGGAAATTCTTGTAAAGAAAAGCGCCTACAACCGCCCACATCGTATACACCTAAAGGATATTTTGGGCGTTCTTGTTGAATTAATGTCACCTTTCAACAAAGACTTAATAAATTTACTAGTACTGAGAATATCGCACAGTAATTTTAGTAAGAATTTTTCGGTAAGTTAGGCGTTTTCCATTGTCTCGTCAGAAAAATTACGCTCGCTTTCAGCCGAATTAAATGGGTCGGAAACACAAAACGGTCAATTGAATCTGCGCGATCTCGTCTTTTTATAAGGGGTAACTCTCATTTGTTACGCTGAAATAATAATTTAATGAGATAATGAAATTAGTTACTTAAACAAGTGGACAATTATTTCTCGGCATAATAGTATTAAATATAAAAACATGCTTAAAGAATTAGGAAAACTTTTCTAAGAAAATTTGATTAATTTCTTGGATTTGTTTTTCATTTCAATGTATATATATTATGTTTTCTGACTAACTCGTATCATATTATATATAGTATTTTTTTTATTAGTTTAGTTAATAAACGTTACCTTACGTATTATTAAAATTAATCTTGGTAACGTATTATTTTACATACCTAACCTAACGTCTTAATATATTGCGTGCGTGAGGTCCTGGGTTTGAATTCCGGAAAAACAATAGATTGATTTGGTTGAGCAGGGAGATCTTAACTAAATACTGTCTATGGTTTACGCGAGTAGTACACATTTAAATAAAACACTTTAACGGTTTAAAACGCGATATATTAGTTAAAGCAGCGGAAACGTCGGGCCGAAATTAAAAATCATTTTCAAATAAGTTTAACTAATATATTGCGTTTTAAACCGTTAAAGTGTTTTATTTAGATCTAAACTACTTAACAGTAAATACAATCGATTTGCAAAATGTAAACATGTTTGCCTCATCACAGAGGAAAACAGAAAATCCCATTTTTTCTAACTTTTCATCTAATATTGTTTTTATTTTCGTTTTCTGCAGACCCTCAAAGAATTCCCGGAAGAATTACGCGGCGATGTTTCTCTTCATTTACATAGAGAAATTCTGTCGCTTCCCATATTCGAGTCCGCATCTCAAGGCTGTCTGAAACTCCTATCTCTGCACATACGGAACAATTTCTGCGCACCCGGTGAATATCTGGTGCACAAAGGAGATGCTTTGACATACATCTACTACATTTGTAACGGCTCAATGGAGGTGATGCAGAATGATATGGTTGTTGCGATACTGGGTAAGTCTTGTGTACTAAATGCCAAATATTAATTTAACAATTAGTATAGACTTTAGACTAGGTTTAAGTAAGTATTTTTCTGAAACGTGTTGCACTTCGTCTGGAAATCTGGATGTTAAATGGTGGTAATCCGTGAATCGCGTTTCGGTTACAGTCTGTGGATTTCCGAATAACCAAAGCCAAAATAGGTCGATCTTGTTTAGATGTTATATCGCCCAGGTATTGACTTCCCATTAAGTGAACTCATACTTATATGTCCTCCTCTATATTAAATACCTTCGTTATATATCTAATTATGCTCCACAAAAATAAGAAATAAATGTGTTCCATTAATAAAACGAAACTCTACAACCACACTATGTATTATGTTGCATGAATTCCAATCTATATTTCGTTATCTAGAATAGTAAAGTTTGGCAAGTGTCACATATTCATAGTCTTATCTAATATAATGCTAGTGTTTCGATAACAGGCAAGGGCGATTTGGTCGGCTGTGACATGAATACCCACCTACAAGCCTACAATGGGACCGGTACAGGACAGTCCAATAACCCTGATGTCGTTGTCAAATCAAGTAGTGACGTGAAGGTATAAGCTATTCTCTGTACATGCTGAACATCAAACTTTGCATAATTAAATGCTCGATAATGGAGCAAGTTGAATATTACAGGCGCTCACATACTGCGATCTTAAATGCATTAACATGATTGGGCTCGCTGAAGTGTTGAGATTATATCCTGAATATCAGCAGGAGTTTATTCACGATATACAACATGACTTGACGTATAATTTACGCGAGGGTTACGAAGCTGAGCAAGAGTCAGATGGAAATGGGCATCCTTCTCTGACGTTGCCTTCGATATCAGAGGACGACGAGAACGCTGCTGAGGATCAAGCGCTATCGCCTAAGAAGAGTTTGGTCCCAAGCAGTAATAGTCCACGACACGCCAGATTCAGGTACCTTTCCTGTTTTTCCTATTGTCTAACTTCGACTGTCATTTATTTTACTAATTTAATAATTTAAATAAAGCAATTTAACTATTTAATACGCGGAATATATTATTTTAATTTATTAACAAATTATTTTAACTACGGCCCGACGTTTCTGAATTCTTTGCAAAGGTCGTGTTCACGTTAGGGGGTAAATGTGTCACTAGTTACAGACAGTATTTAAAATAATCATTATTATAATTATTTTTTATTGGTAGTAATAAAAACAAGTTTGGATTTGATATGGCATTACTTTTAAAATTAATGAATGCTCTCGTGACTGGAGTGTGTATGGTATATCGAAATATTTCAGATCGGATGGACAAGCGAGATTGACTCACAGGGAACTACGCGAACGAATAGAGAGACAACGATCCGTAGCAACACCAAAAATTACAAGAGCCGATTCGTTGGAAGGTTTAAATTTAGAAATACGTTCGTCCGTTGAGAGACTCGACACGCAGGTGTCCAGTTTACACCATGACGTTGCTGCATTGAGCATGGAGGTAATAGTCCCGTTTATCAAACGCTTGTTTACATCCACTTTTAGAAAACATTCTCGTACTAAGCTGGTGAGTAACAAAAACATAGTAAGATTTTTCGAGAAACGTTTACCATGTTCAAATGGTGTCACATATTCCATTTTTAAATTTATATAGTTATAAGTTTAAGTACACCTCTTTTATTACTGTGTCATTTTCATCGAGGTCGCTTGGAAGAGATAGCTATTTAGCTATAAATTCGCCGTTTGTCCCTTGTCAAATCAATTTTATATTGTGTTGTTTTGTTTCTTGTTTTGAAATAAAGAATATTTATTATTGTATTGTATAGTGTTTGATTGGCATAAATGTAGTTTAAAAGTTAAACTTATAGTATAATTAATTAATTTTAAAAATATGTAATTACATGCATAAACGTAAATATGTCCTTTTTAAAAAAAAGGTATTATTTATTTTATATATTTTGATTAGCTCGTAAAATAACTTGAATTAAATCGAACAAAAGGACGTAGTCGATTTTTACGTTATCATAACTGTTTAATTATATTCAACAATAACATGAGAAATAATGATATAACTGAGTTATATTTTGTTTTACCGTCACGTTCCACCCCAAAGGGGCACTGAAAACCGGCACTTCAGGAGGTATGGTGAAGTATAAGTCGAGTGAAGTCCCTTTTCCTTAGCCGTTTTGTTGTTTACCGTTATTGTACTTTCTACTTAAGTATATACTTTAATACATACATTAGTATACGCTCAGCTTCAGTTAATAGCTTACGCTTTTAGGTTCGCAACGCAATTCATGCTTTGCAAGAGATGACGGGGCCAGTATGGCACGCAGCGCATTCCAACCCCAATCTGCAATGGAATGCACCACCCAATCAACTAGCTCGGAGTTGCAGTCACCCACCTGATGTTTTTTGTTGGGATCAGGTATAAATTTTATAATTAGCTTAGGAAAATATAATTATCTATCCACTATCATTCCGAAAAATATAACTATAAAATGTTTTAGCTTCGGCACACGAGATTTGTTTAAATGTTAAAATTTATTTAAATAAGAAAAATTATCGGCGCCCTCTTTTATTAAAACTAGTATTAATTAGTACTAGTTAGTAGTACTTGCCTCCTTTTACAAAAAGTAATCGCATAATATAAAAATTAAATTTAAACGGGTTAATATTAGTCCAAGTTCACATCATGCCAACAAAGGCAAGTCTAGTATTGTTCAATAACGTCTCCTTTATTTCTTACAAAACATTCAAAATAAATAAATGTATCTTTATTTTATAGCAAGAACGGCCTACAACACCGGAGCGTCCAAAAATAAATAGATGTACACAAACAGATCCGCTCCTAAATTGCGTTACCCAGTATATAATGGAGCACCCGGCCACGGTAATGCTTCTATTGGGCTTGGACCCGATGGCAAACTTAACACCAGTTTTGGCGCCAAATGTCGAATATTACGACAGCCGCCATCGCAGGCCAAGTGGCTTGGAGCAAATCGCAGAGTCCGATAATGGCAGCCAGTCTCCGTCCAGCCCGAGCAGTGAGAAAGCCGAGACCAGCCCTAGTAGCGTAAAGTGCGTCAGTGTGGTAGAAACGAAAAGAAACCCAGACAAAGATTCCAAGAGCTTAAGACGAAATAGATATTCAGCGAGTGATATTTGCGAGGCGTCCGAGCGGCTGCTACCAGCCAAGTCGTCCAATCAAAGCACATACAGCCTCAAAAGCAACGCTAACAGTTAAGTGATATTTATTCCAATATGCTCACTAGTTCATAATTACAAACTCTCGGTGTTAGATTCTCGATATAATATAAACTTTAAACGGATTGAAATGTGAAATATATTCGTTAATTTATTTCTAACTTTATGTTTTGTGCTCCATAGTTGCGAAAATGGATTCGAAACGTCCGGTCGTAATCCTTACTATATTAATATTATAAATGCGAAAGTAACTCTGTCTGTCTGTCTGTTACTCTTTCACGCCAAAACTACTGTACAGATTTGAATGAAATTTGGTACACAGATGGTCTAGACCCTGAGAAAGAACTACTTTTTATTGCGAAAAGGGGGTTGAAAAAAGGGGGAGTAAAAGTTTGTATGGAAATTCGTGGTTTTTGAAGCTAGAACAATGAAACTTTTTTCTTTTGCTTTTTGGGAATAGGATTGGGAGTGGGGGCGGGAGTGGGGGTGGGAGTTAGATTAGGAGTGATGTGAGATGAAAGTGTTACGGCAAAGTAAAAAAAATAAAACAAAGATTGGCTGCGATAAATGCGCAATTACATAAATTAATAAACAGCCTAAAAAATTAAAAATTCTACCTCAAGTCACTATTCCACGCGAACGAAGTCGCGGGCACAGCTAGTTATAAATAAATTAACTAATATAAGTCGCGTTTAAAACCGTTAAGTGTATTTTGTTGACTTGGGTAAACTACAAAATATTAAATTTAGATGATTGTTTTACTTTTGAAAACCCAACTTAGTTTTAATGTTTTACTTTCATTTCAATGATATTTCATATCTTCCAAATCTATATAGGACATATCAGAATTCAAATACAAAAGTGTTGTAAAGATTTATTCTATAGTCGTAAGGTTAACGTTGGTTATTTGTCTAGTCACTGTTTAGGATATTATGTCTGGCCGGAGCCACCTTGCCAGTTACAAAACGATAGTGAAATACGAAAAGAAAAGATCGTATGAGAGTGACACATATCAGAAAGGTCAATATGTATAGCTTTCGAATTTCGTTATCGCTTTTAGTTAAAAATCGTAGGCTGGTTTTACTAAAACATTCAATGGCATATCGATCAATGTATAAAATTATTTTTTACAAGAATTTGGTCTTAGAATACGCTCGTATCAATTTTATTTATATTGTTACTTGGAATATCGAAAAATGAGTGTCCTCTTGACACTTTGTATGAAGAGTGCTTGACTTCACAGGTCTTTTTAACTTCATCTTCATGTCAGACAATACCGACATATTGTGCTATAATTCTACAAATAGGTATGTAGGTTCTATCAATATAATTGTGCCAAAAAGGATTTCTCTGCATTATGTTTAAATATAAGTCATAAAATGAGGTCTTCCTAATGTAAGCTCAAATGCAATACCCCTTTCAGTATTTTCTTAAATTTAAAAATTTTCACTATCTGTCAAGTACACAGATTATAGAAAATAATCCAAAGAGTTATAGAAAAGAAGTAATTGTATAAAAAAATAGACTGTCATTCTTGACTACATAAACGTCAATAAATCAAGAATATATTTAGTTTCTAATGACTTCTACCACAGATACTGTAAATCTAATTAAAAATTGAAAGTTTGGTATTATTAGTCTGGTGAGGTATCGTTTCGTAATTATCTGAGTCTCGCATGTAAATATAAACTGAAATTTCGAATCTAACTTTTACGTTGGTTGTGACCGAATTGTTTGGTATGCAGTCAAAATATATACATATTACATACGTGTTGAACTACGAAACGATAAATAACTTTATTATGAACAATTATATCATTTATATGTAATTAAATCTATCTCTTGTACATTTTAATAATAAGAATGACATCTTTAAGAATGAAACGCTTACTAGTGTAAATGAATAAATTATATAACCTAAATGTGATATGTTGAGAAAATATTTAAGATATATAGTGCCTAAATTATTCAATGTGTAATTCTTGAGAATTAATATTTATTATAATCATCAAAAATGTATAAGTTAATTATAATTGAATCCTTGCATATTTTTTGTACATACAAATTTAAAGTTATTAATCTTTCTCATGTAGAAGATGTTAGATATATGAAGTTCAATAAAGACAATTTGATGTTTCTGAATTACCCTTGTTTTGTTTCCAAACGAGCTATTCGTACTCTTACTAGTGATGTGTCGAGTGTGATAGTAACCGAAACGGAATATCAACCGAACGTTCGGTTCAAGCGAGAAGTAGAAAAGAATTAGATATTAGTGATATATGCAATCAATAAAAATTCGGTTTAAAACACAAAACTAAGCGTGAAACCTATCCATAATACTGATGGATGCATGACTATTAAGCATTATTTAATTTTTATACTTGTTATATAACAAGGATAACCTGTTTCTCATTAGATTCAATACTATGAGAATCATTTAAACTTCGGATGTTTTAGCCGAAGTCTACCCGAATACCGAAGTTTCCTCTAGTAATAATTATTACATCATTAGTCCAATTTACATCGGACGCGGGCGACAAAGGAGCCCACGGTAAATCGTATTCCATCCATGTTACAAGGTGAGTGTAGTATTAATTATTCATTCTCTGTACGTAATTAGGAGAAATGGTTTATAGTATATATTTCTTACACTATTCGTGGCAAGCCTTGTTGATCTCTGTCTGTGAGGACGGGAGTTCAACCTTAGTCTTGTAGAAAAATTATTGTTTCAGTTGTACACTTTCAGATAAGCTTGTCCATGAAATAAAATTGTAATTGAACTGGTAAGTGTTAGAACTAAAATATCAACGACATTCTTCATTTGCCCCTTTGGGAGACCCGAGTCCCTGGGCCGCTGTGACCCGAGCCATGGAACTGTTAAGTGGAACGAAGGAATCATTAATATAATTTAAAGTTAATCTGTAATTATTTTGTTTCTGTGCAGCAGGGATACGTTATGCAAACATTACTTAACTCCAATAGGCTGTTTGCTGTGTATCCAAACAAAAAAGTCATCTAGACGAAGCTTTTTATTATAAAAGTTGAAGTAATTTCTCGCTGTCATGAAAGAGAGAAACTTTATTTTACTTCGCTTTTTAATGTCGCCTTAGAGAGTTAAATAATAATATTTAGCTAAGAATTTAGTTTGTAGTCATCTAGCTACAAAGACTAAACGAATAATAATGTTCTCTGTTTGTCTATTCCTTGAGTATTTACGACTATTGCGGGTTTTACCAATTTATAAACTCTATTGAGATAACATAATTATATACACTATTATTATTACTAGTTAGTTAAAACACAGAAAAATATAGCGTAAAAAGCATAAAACTGGTTTAAAAACATCAGTCTACCGGTAGTGTTCAAAAAATTTTTCGTTATTCAGGTATTGTATGTAGTTTATGCGAAAGTATACATTTAAATAAAACACTTTAAACGGCTTGAAACGTGATATATATTAGTTATCTAAAGTCCATCAGGATTTAAAATTAAATTGTATATAAGTAAGTTAACTTCGTATTAAGATGTTTAAAATTATTTTACTTAAATGTTTCGTTATATTAGTTTTATATTATACAAGTATTACAGATACTTATTTACGCAGAAGGAATAGGGGTAGAGTAATATATTTGAAATAAAAGAAATGTACTTACTCAATATTAGCTTCTCAAATAATAAAGTTGAGAAATGTAAAACAGAATACATTTGCACTCTCACTCACAACTTTGATAAAAGGATTCTCGATTATATTACAAGACTCACATTATCACAGATAAAACACAAATTAAAACTCATTACTTACAGAGACTACTTACTTTGAATACGAGAACTTCAACTTTATTGACATAATTTAACTTTTATTAGCTTTTGTCAGAACTTACACGTAACGACTGCTACAATCCAGAAATAAGATATTCTTAAATAAGATATTCGCGATGAAAAAGATAAATATTAAAAGTACACTCAGTGATATATGTAACGGACATAGTTTTTTTGCATAAATTTAATGTGATATTTTATTGATTTCTCCTATCAACAAAAGTGCCCAATTTAAAATGAGTCATTGATAAAACAGCGAATAAAAAAGTGATGTATTATGACAATACATTTTCTTATATGAGTCTATTCACTGACTAAAATTAAGGCTTGGCTAAAGGCCTTCCTTGGAGACCACAAATCAATAAAAATAAAAATGTAGGGGAGGATAGACAAGGTTGAGCTTCTAAAACATAGATAAGCTGTCAACACATTTTCGCCTTTAATAATGAGGAATCCACAGAATGAATCCGAAACACAATTCTCCGAAACAAAATCATCTTTGGACGGTGGTGCGCGATCCGGACGGATCCATTAATTGATAAAAAAAATGTTGGACGCGATACGGATCGAATCCACGACCCATTGGTTATTAACCATTTACCATTAGACCGTCAAAATTAACGTAGATGTGGCGTAGAAACGTAGACCCTACGTAGCATAGTCGTAGCTTGCTACAAACAACCCCAATTTACTCGTTAAGTTCCCCCTCCACCGACGGGCGCGGCTACGCAGGCAACGGCGCGAGCTACGAGGCGTGAAATGCAATTTTCCCTCGATGCAGCGTCGGGCTCGCTACTTTACTAAATTACTAGAGCGCGTTTTCAAACAACCCGATTTGTATAGATTTTGACACTGATATTTCGAGCTGAAACTTTTTATCACAGTCTTTAATTGATTAAACATATTTATCTTTAGGAAAATAAATTACATGAAAATAATTAAAGTACATAGTATCGTAAATTATGACGATATATTTAATTACACAACAATTATATATTGAGAAATATTTTAGGCTGTTATGTCGTTTTCAAGATTAATATTATAACGTTCTGGCCATGCCACGATAGCCCTCAAAGATGTATAATTTCGTACATTTTCCAGTTTCTATTTATCATTGGCGCATGCGTGTTATATAGCCCGAAGTCTTTCTCGATAAATAGCCTATCTAACACAAAAAACATATTAAGTAAATTAGCCAGTTTTTCATGCACTTCATCCTTC